AATAAAACCCACTACTGAATTCAAAGTGTAATTCTTGTTTAATATTGACTCTATCTCAAAACAAGATTCTTATTAGAGTACTTAATATGATCTTTAATATACTGTAGAATACTGGGGGGGAGGGAGGGAAATTAGGTGCTTCAGAAATGGTTTTACGCTAGATAAATTGTATTATATCTTACTATTGAATAATGAAATTTGTAAGCCAAGAGTGCCAACATCAGTTGGCACAGAAAAAACTAGTTATTATACCTCCTGGCTGGACTGGAGTACAAAGGAATCTGCTATATGCAAATTGCATAGTATCTGCTAAGGCATACCTAACACTATGTTAACTATAACATGTAAGCAGTAAAAAGTACCTTCTCAATGCACCTTCGGAGTGTATTGATATTCCTGACCCACCAACCAATACCCACAGCTCTTAATTCAGACCACTGAGGGTCTCCCTTCTGGATAGCAGGAATCATACTGATCAACTCCTCCTCAGCCTCAGAATGAAAAGCCCACGCAAAATGGCAAGTAGAAAGGCCTAAATGGTAACATAATAAAATTTAGAAGATTAAGCCTTGTTAATAAGAAAACGAAGTATGTCAGAGATCAAAGTGGGATCTCCAACTCAAGAGTTAGGTAGATCTGAGTGAGACTCTTAGAGCTGCAAAAGGAACAGCTGAAGTATCTTTTTACTTGCTAGAGATGTCCTCTCCTCAGTGCTTCTTCTGTCATTTCCTGGTACACCATTCATATACGTAGGAGACTTATATGGTGAAAGACTGAAGGAAAAATATTCTGCTATTGTAGAGGCAGACCTATTCTGTGCCAGAAAACTTTCTGTAACTGCTTTTATTTCCTGTATTTCACAACAGCATGTACTCAGATTGAGCAGGGAAAAAACCTGCTGTGATGAAAAAAGAAAATAATCTTTAAGGTAAGATAAAGCCATCCTTATGTAAAGCAATTGTCTTCATTATTCCAGCTGAAACAATATATACACAATTTGTCTGTTATCTAGTTGGAGAACTTATTCATGCCCGAAAGTGAATGGGACAAAATCTTTGTTCTGTTCTACTGGGTTTTTTGCTATTCACAGTGCATGCAAGGAAGCCTGTACTAAACCTATATGCAAAATAAGGGCCTTAATGAAATAGAGAGAATCTAAAGTGAACATGCAGATAATCTAAATATAATAATTGAATTAAAAAATAACCAGATGCTGTCAGCTCAAGTGGATCAAATGAAAGCAAAACTTCACTCTAACAATTACCTTGGTGAAGCAGCTGAACTCGATACAGAGGTGGGAGTGACGTCAGGAGGCAGGTGTGCAAGCGCATAGCCAACAAGTATCGTAAGCCACATTCGTCTAAAGTATCTCTTCCTGTGAAATATAAATGCTGATTTTTGAACATGCAAATGACTACAAGAGGCATATATACAACTTACCATATGCAGTGTGAGGGATGTATGTTTCTGAACTTGCTGAGAACCTGAACTACAAGTTACTATGTATGAAATATAAGTAGAGATGTATATTTAAGTTATTCTTTCTTGCTGTATCTAATCTGAATAACTGATACTAGCTTTGTTATCCCAAATACCCAAAGACTAAGTCTATCTTTGCTGAGAAGGACAAGAATGTTAATTCAATATGTCAGTTACTAACCTGAGTAATTCTTATCTCTGTTCTCATCTAGTTCAGTGCTTGTTGTGGCCACAGTGTCTGCCAAAGCTACAAGGAACATCTGCTCCAGTCGAGTGAGGCCTGGCAGACTTGAATGCATCAGGTGGCTTGACAGAACACTAGCATGTTCTCGGCCAAAGTAAGTCGGACCATACTGTGATAGATTAATAACTTTGGATTTACTCTCCCTCTTTTCAGGCTCAAAATCAATGAAGTCTTCAGTTGTAACAGACGGAATTTGGAATAGGTCTGAGTACTGATCTTCTGTTTTTCTCTTAGCATGATCTTCAGAGCCCTGAGGTATTTTAGAAGTTTCTTCAGAAACAAAAGTGGCATCTTGATCTGCAGCAAGCAACGCATACAGTGGCAATGGGGGAATTGAGTCTATCTCTGTGTAGTCTCGAGTACCATCTTTTCCAGCTGTGATGGTATCCTTTGCAGTACTACCACTTACACTTATGGTGCGAGAAAGATGGCGTTTAGGACCAGTTCCTTCTCCAGCTTCTGTGTCTTTAACAATTGCAACTTCTCCTGCAATACATTTAACTAAATGCGATAGAATGGCTTTGGCTCGGCGAACTTTACCCAGATCCATAAGTTCTAACAACTGGGTTGGATGATACTGGGGTAGAGTAGGTGAAAGAACATGAGCAGCTTCAAAAAGGCCACCATCCTGTATTACAGTTGGAGTGCCAAAAACATCATCCACAATACCTGCCCTATCAATTACACTGGTCTTCTTTGCTATCAGGCTTGTTTTGAGTGGATCTTGTGTTGTTGAGTCTTCAGTAGTAAAAACATCATTTTCTCCATCACCAAACCTGATAGCATGTTTCCACTGGGCATAAACATGCATTTCGCAGTCCATTCCCACTACCAGTATACCATCTCTCACCCAGGACAGAGAAACAGGCAGTGAAGGAGTGCCATCTACAGACGATACCAAATCAATTGATCTAAGCAACACCCACTTCGACTTTATACCTTGTTTTATGCTACCACCTAGTGGTAAAGTAATGACAGCTACTCCCTCTTTGCTGCTGGTTTGATCTGTTACAATTCCTGAAAGCCTTCCGTACATGTAGATGTTGGCACCAACTCCAACTGTCAATATATGTGAACCATCTTCTTTTGATACCCAGTCCAAATGCACCAAATGCTTGATACTAGGCACCAGGTATTTGTCTTTATTCAAAAAAGCATCTGATTTACTGTAAACAAATAAATTACTATCTACACTGACTCTTGAATCAAGTACGCTTCCAACCTTAACTAAATCATCCAGATGAATTGTCTGTTCCAAAACCCATTCTGATCCTCCTGTAGACTCACATTCAAGTATACAAACATGCATGGAAAATTCTTTGGAAACAAAACCATTATGCTGTATGGGTTGTTTGTATGCTACTGCAAGACGTCCTGTGTAAGAACAGCTAACGGCAACAGGCCTTCCTACAATGCTCACTGTACTGCTGTTGTCTTCTCCTTCATCATTCATTAAAGGCCATTTCCTCCAATGATATGTTTCCCTTTCTTCGTTTTTGCTGTTTAGGTCTGTCTCTACAGTACATCTCCAGAACCGCACTCTGTTGTCTGAACATGATGTTACTATCAGATAAGGTGCAAGGCAGACTGGGTATATTGATGAAGAGCTCAGGTGACCTGAAGTTAGAACATATTACGTATTTACTTTTAGTAACATAAAGTACAATGCCTCTATGAATAAAATGAAGCCTAAGAAGGGGAGGGAGGAGGGAGGACAGGAGAGAAATGAAGACGGACAAACAGAAGAAGGTATATGGGCATCAGGTAAAAAAAGTATTATATACCCAACATGCTAATATTGGCAGATGATATAAAGCAGGTATAAATTGTTCATTAATAAATTAAGACTAGAAGTTAAATTTCCAACCATTAGGGCAGTAAGTTTCAGGAACAGCTTCCCTATGGGGACTTGATATATTTATGGAAGGGTAACATGACATGGACACAATGATTTGAGAGAGCCTTTTTGGTCTGGTGTTCCCTGTATCAGTAAATCAGAATGCGATAGCCTGAGGACCTGGAGAGAAAAATATGTTACATTTACCTGCTGAAGGAGTTGCTCTTATTACTTCTACACCAGCAGGAAGATCCAGAGGTTGGCTATACACAAGTCTGGAGCTCAGAATGAGTTTACTAGCAGTCTGAAGATTAGCAATTGATGAAGATCGAGGAATAGGACTTATGCCAGGTGATACATTTGGAGAAGAAACCACAGTCTTCTGCACAGGTACGCTAAGCTTATTCTCTGGTGAAGGAGCTTCAGTTGGCTTTGCTGTATTAAAAAAATTGACAACAGTGTTAAAAAAAAACTGTTTAAGTAAGGCCAAGCCATAAACACCCTACGGTATCAGTTCTATTTTTAGCCATACTTAAGTTACACAGAAAATAATTATATGACGTGTGCAGGCTTTGTTACTTTTATTGCATACTATGACCATTCATCTTGGGATACCCATAACATTCTGAAATACCAAGAATTAAAAATAAAGAATCCAGTGCTTAAGTACATTACCCTATCAAGAAATTTTTACATTGCTATTGGTGTACAAGACAACCAGTGTTTGCAAGGACCCCTACTGCTACTACTGCATTGATAAAATTCTAAAGGTTCCTGACTTTGAGGTTTCTGCTCAACAAAGGCTTACCTGTCACCAGAGGTGACAATGTGTTTTGAAATGATCCACCAAGCTCTAAGTTTTATTTTAAAATAATATGAAAGAAATGTCTGTCTCTAAGAAAATTACAGTCACTCACCTAAACAGGCTTGCACAGATTTGAGATGAAGATGCCACATCTGAAGAACAGAGCAGCCATTACTATCTTTTTCAATTACTACTAGGTAGAACTTCTCTGAGAAAGGTGGTGGACGATACCCTGTAATTTAAACATCATTATCATGAACTTTACCTTCAACATAAAATATTTTCAATAACAGAAGACTCTAAAAATTATTTATACTAAAAACCCCATTTTCTTCTTTGAAAGAAATCGCTTAATTAGAAACAAAATATTCAAACAGTATGATTAATAACTTTTTTAACATTAATAACATTTGTTTGCTCATGGCTACAGAGCAATTACAAAAATAGATCGACTGACTTACAACCTGAGTACTAGTAGCAAATCTAATTTATCAGATATATTTGCCTTCCGGGTCAGTTTGAACTACCTCGCTACATTGTAAAAACTCTTTTCTACCTGCCTGCTTTCTTCCTTTTAAAGTTTTAAGTCTACTACCAAATCCCGAAGTTACTTTCTATTGTACTAACTTGGAAGTCAGATATGTTCATCTTATCACCTGGAACTACATATTGATGCAGAAAATACACTTCTGCTTTATTATGTACACATTTTTATATATAACATACAGCATTTTGAAAAACAGACTTTGTCATATAGATCAAAATGTTTCACTTTAAGCAAATTAGAATGCCTTTGTTTATTACCATTACCATGTAAACAACAACTCATAGCAGCAACCTGAAACAGCCATTTTAGTGAATTCTACAGATTTTAATAAAAGGGAAACTAACAGATGCTGGCTATTTCTGTATTCTTAAAAAACATTTCTAGTACCTGCATTTCATTCATATTGGCTATTTTTATGCTGTACCTTGTGACGGCTGGAAAAATATCTCAGTTTCCTTCCCTTCCACATCTTCCTTATGTGGTTTGTATCCCAAAATGAAGTCTTCTTGAAAGACATGAAGCAATTGTGTGTTTGAGCCACACTGAAATATTAGAGCAATAGTTATGCTTCCAGAACAATAAGGCAACATTTAGTACTAATGCAGTTATTTCTTTTGTGCATTCTAGCTACCGATGAGGATCACTTTCTTTTATGCTGTTGAAAGTTATTTTAATGCGTTTGAAAAAATGAATGTTTTCCTTTTATACTAAGAACAGCATATTCTAGAACCTATTGTTTGTATATGCAAATCATTTCACTGAGATCTACCCTGCTAGACAAATTCTGTAATAATGTTTTTGCCACTGTTATTGACAGATGCATTAGTACCTGATTGGTTTTTATTGCTTTAGGTATTGAATAAATGACAGTGGGAAAAACTCTTAAGACTTTTATCCCTTTTCAGTGGAAAGACATGTCTGCAGTGAACTGCTTAGGAAATCTAAAAAAGGGAACAAATTGCAGATTTTCCTTCTCTTGTGTATGTCAACAGCTGTCCTTCCTGACAGCAACAGATTTCCTTGCAGTACCTCTACCTCTCTACAAAGGAGGCTGCTGGCAGTGAAATCCTTTTCTGAAGGCAAGGAAAAACATGTCACCAAAGACAGAGATAGATAAGTTTTCATGCTGTAAAACACCCCCTTTTTCCAGAGAAACATGGAAAGAGAGTATTTTCTGTACTCATCTATAAAAATTCTAGATGAGTATTTTGTAAATTTGAACTTAAGATTGAAGATCCCATGTGATTAATACTTAAAAGCATGGAAATTTATTGACAAATAGAGAACTACTTCTTTATGTATGTCAAAAAGATCCAGACACTTAATTAAGAAATGGTAAAATGCTGTTTCCATGGGCTGCTTCCTAACAGAAAACAGCACTGGAACATGTCTGATCAAAATAACTGAGTAAAAGAACAAGGTATAACGCTGCTACCTCCTCACTGTTTAAAATGGATAGCTGTATTAGTCAGGAGAGACAGACAAAAAAAAAAGTAGCAATCCATGGCTACAATTCCTACATTTTGGAATAGTTAGGTCCAGTTTTTAGGTTGTTTGGGGTTTTTTTTTTTATGTTAATCTTTTTGTTTGGCTTGGAGGGGATTGTTTGGGGCTTTTTACCTTTAAATTATGATGGTTTGTAAACCAGTCTTTATTTAAGTTTTATTTTCATCAAGATTTATGATTAGAAAATATTGCTACCCTCTAACAATGGGTTTTGAGCTCCTAGCAGCTAGAAGAAAGTTGTCTGACTATAATGTTCAAGCTATCCTAATAGAAAAGTTAAAGGCAGTCATTATCACCATAGAGAAATGTCTTGTCTTGTCTCTTTTCAATTGATTAGGTTAATTAACAGACAGACCTACTAAACACCTTTACATAAAAACCTTAAAGAGTTAACTGTTTACTTACTTTGTTAGTTATTGCATCAAGTTCAATAATGCATCCTGGTCGAGCAGTAGATTGTTGGCTCACAATATTAAACACTTCCCCAATAAGTTTCTGGGAGAAAAAAAACCAAAACAAACTCTTAGAAGACTTAGTATATTTTTCCTTCAGACAGAAGGAAATTGCAGTCACTTACAATAAACTGATGCTTTAATTTTCCTTGTTGGCATAAACTATAACAGAGTTCTTACTTTTGTCACTTCAAAAGCATTTATAAAGACATTTGCACTGTTGTGTCTGCAGCTATTCATGGGGATAGTGCACCAGTTTTAAAGGGAAGTAAATGTTGTTTGCTTATTAAAGACTTACCCTTTAATAGCATAACTTGGTATCTGTGCCACGAGAAAGTCAAATATACTGCTCCACTTCTGTTTAAAGCTTCAGGTTTTGTCACAACATGTAAAACAAGTCAGTATAGCTTATACATAAACTGAAGGCTCTATTGATTTTTGCTGGAATGTTCACAATTATTGCTCTTGGCACAGATTCCTCAGACTGATCTGAATACTGATAGGCTCTACCTTGCTGGATAGCTTAGAAAATAACACAAAAATGGAAAAAAGGAAAGATGTGCTTCTTTATATGATAAGAGTGCAAAGTCAGGCTTTACTTTGCTTAAAGTTACAGAAATGAAATATTAAAAAGAGGGATGAAAAAATTGCTTATTAATGGAAAAATAAGACCTAATATTACCCTTGACAAAAACCTGCCAGTTCTCTCTTATCCCACCATATCTGCCCTTCCTCATACATAGATGTAGCTTTGGATACACCTAAGTCTTGCTCTTCTGTCTTCACCTTCTCACTTGCTCTGACTCCCCTTTTAAAAGAAAACAAAGAAAGAAATCCTGTTTTTCCTTTCCCTCCCTCCTACAGGCTGGGGAAGCATGTCAGGGAAATTTTCTTTCAGTGCAGCCACTTTTAGTAGTAATAACTGTGTTTCTGACTGTTGATGTTCAGAGAGAGATGCAAACCATACAATTATTTAAGGTATAGACATAAGATCGTATACACAGAATGGCACAAAAATTATACAGGACCAAGTGAAGACAAACTCCCCACTAAGGAGGGGAGTTACCTTAATTAGTTTTATTTTAATACTTTCAAAGCATTGCTACAGAAAACTTACAGATGATTCAGGGTCAGATAATTCATCTAGAAGTTTTCGTGCATCTACAACAGCTTGATAGAGTCTCAAATTTTTGCCATCAGATGCAACAAAGCAAGCACTAGCAGAGTTGCAGTATGTACCTAATAGAAAACACAAAAACTTCGTGGTTAAAAAAAGTGGCAGTGAAATGGCATTGGGTAATCTATCATGTTCCACTTCACTGTACCTGAATACGTTCTGAATATGTTTCTAACATAATTTCCATAAAGTATCTGAATTTTGAAATAACTCCCTTTCTGCTCATTTATGTAACTGAAACTCCTCATAAAAGTTGAATAATCTAAGCAGAACTCGTATCTTTACAAACATGGTTCACACATGCAAAAACCATTATGTAATACGCTGAAGTGTTGCCATTCCTTAAGGGAAGCAGGTAGTTATTTGTGTTTAGAAGACTGGGATTTAGATAGCACAGAATGTTACTATGTGAGCAGAAACAATAATTTATTTTTATTTTAAATAAAAGACATGTTACACACTTAACTATATTTATGATTTTTGAGGTTGTACAACATCTTTGACACCTATTTTATCATTGCAAAGGTCAGACTGGCCTTAGCATAATAAAATAACTTGGCATTGTTAATAGAAAACAATGTTACCTCCATCGCAAAAATGACATTTTTAGTACTGTATGCAAAGATGACTACTACTACAACAGCATCTTTGTGATAATTCAAAAATAAATATCTGAGTGGCTGAAGAGAGTAACAGTTGTAGAGACTATTTTGTCTTACCAGTACAGGAAACTGTTTTGCTAACTGCAGTAGAAAGCCCTAAAATACAAAACCTGAAGAATCATCCTAGGGCATTAGACATCAGATGTTGTACTGCCTGACCTCTGAAAAAGTTATGTGCAATTCTCTAAAGGTCATGTAGTCTGTTTCTTTAAAAATACTCTGTTCTGATGGAGCTTTTGTTAAACACTGATGGCCTGAAGAATTTGGGTATCGTTTCAGGATCTTCTAAGCAGAGTTTTTAGCCAGCACGTTAAAAGATTTTGATATTTTGTATCAAAATCACATCAAAATGTAAATTTTGGCTGAAAATCTTTCCCAATTATTCAGATGTTCAAGTCGGCTAAATAGTAGTTCTGTTCAACCCACTGCCTCCTGCAGCTGTATGTGGCCACCAACCCAGATGCCAAAGTTGTCAGAACATCTGCATTACCAATACTTATGGCAATGCAGAGAACACTCAGTGAAGCTGCCTAAAGGCAGCTGAGGAAAGGGATCATCTTGTTCTTTGTGAGAGTGATGATTGCTTACTCACACAAAGAAGTTACTGAATGTCAGCTGATTCACAGTAACTACAGGCACACTCAGATCAGATGAAATGTTCTGAAGTAGTTTAGCCTCAAATGAAATAAAAATACTTAATCTGCATAATACAAGGAAATTGATTAAAAGTTAATATAAATATACTCCAAATACAATAGTAATTTATTTTGACAAATTAATTCTCAATGACAATGACTCATAGTGTTAACTCTATATGGAAACATGCTAAGTATACTCACCAAGGCAATAGCTGGGAATAAGTGTTGGAAGCCAGGCTACGTTAGAGAAAGCGGAGGTATGAAGAGAGTTAATTCGTGCCAATTCAGATACTCCTCCAGTGTATGATAAAGGTCCTATAGGGTCTACACGCCACAAAATCAGCTCACTATAGATTGCATTTGGGTCATGGAATGTACGGGTTGCTGCATTTTTAAGCTGCTGCCTAGAAGAACCTTTCACATGTTTAATTGGATCAATTTTTCTGTTTATCGTATCAGAGTCCCAGGAACTGTCTGATTCAGGAGTTAATAGAGCATTATGATGAGAAGATGTTAGCAGTAATGGTAAAACAGAATGGCAAGCCAGATCGTTGAGATGAAAACGGTGACCGCAGTACCTAAATTTATGTGATACAGTTAGCACAGTAGTGAAAGCTGACTTATCAGCAAAAGTAACTGCCCACTGATTTAGAGAGCCATCTATATGTTTGGAAACCATCATTATTTTGGGAGAAATTATATTCACATTTCCACCATCCTGGTCAAAGCTTGATCCTTTATTTGCTAGAGTCTTATCTGGAAAGTCCATTGTCTTCTGATAGACAGCATTACTGTCATCTTTTACAAAGACAGGGCAAGCGTACATCATAATATTTTTGCTCAGGGAGCTAGCATCTCCTGATGGAAATGCAACAGGAATACTAGAAGCAAATGAAACCTAAAAAAAAAAAAAAAAAAAAGAGAAGAAAAAAGGAAAAAAAGAAAAGAATTAGAATTTAACACCACAGCTTAAGTCTGAATAAATATTAGCTGTTTCTCAGGAAGTACTTAAACTCATACCGATGTTCAGGTATAAAAGACAGGGCACAATGATTGTTGATTAAGATCATAAATAATAAAACATTTTCAAACATACAATACCTGAACTTGCCGAAAGATGCCTGGAGTGTATTCATCTAAGTATTTCACATGCCACACCAAAAAGGTACCATCAATGGGGTGGATAGTAAAAAGCATATCTGGATTTCTGTTCCATTCGGTTACGAGCAACTCAATTTTCTGATCTAATAAAACTGTTGGAAGAGGCATGCACGGGCCTGTTAGTAGAGATGTTTTGGGGCTTCCTTCTCTTTCTCCATCTTCATGTTCTGAAGAGCCTGTACCAGTCCCTGTCTCTGATTCCCTGTCCATAGACAAGTCTGCAACAGAAAAGAAATGCGCCATTTTATGCATTACAAACATTTCCTTATCAGTTTCTATTCAAAACAACACAATATTTTTTATCTGTTAAGAGTAATGTCTGATAAGAATCTGCATTGAGAGTAGAAACATCTTTCTTTGCAGAAAAACGTGAGGCTCTGGCCCTGACTATTTCTTCTAACTGTACAATACAAGTAATAGTAAATATAACCACACAAATTCAGATACTTTAGAGTAATGCCTGCAAAAGATGATTCTGGTCAACTATATAAACCCACACACTTCATATGAGTGCTGGTTTCAAATTAATGTGGGTGGTTGTTTGTATTTAATGTTTGTGGTTGTATATATTCTAAATACATTCATCACAGTGATCACTGATAAACTAGTATGTATTGCATATTCAGTAAGAATTATCATACACTTAACTGCTGCATTGGTACCCTATATTTTAAGAACCTAAGCATTATAAATAACAAAATATATCATTAGTTTACTGTCTCAAATTGGTCTTACTGGTTTCTGTAAACATATTTTTATTTTTACTCATGCTTACTGGCCAAGTGACCCTCCACAGCAATGTAAGGTATTTCTGGATATGTCTTCACCATTAATTTCGAAATAGCCTCTTTGTTGCTTTGTGACCAGCTACAGTTGGCATCACTACATGATCTAAAGCTTAAGATTTAAATCTTACCAGTACTGGAAACACTGCAGTTGCATTAAAATGGAGCTATGTCCAACCCTACTTAAAGCTTGCCATAAATTGGTTTGTCATTACTGACAATCAGTAAGGTAAAGAGAGAACAGGTCTTAGTCATGATTTCATAGCTCAGTGGAATATATTCAAAATGGAAATGAAAGACAAAAGTTACCTTTCTTTTTCACTGTGTATGTCACTATTGCATTCCAACAGAGTACATAATTGCATTTTTCATGCCTACAGTTAGAGCACTCAAAATGTCAGCTGTAAATGTCTATTTCAGGTTAGTGATGTTAGCACTTTCATTCTTTTGTGTAGTAAATAAATGCATTAATTATTGCATTAATGCACTTCAAAATAATTCTTGTGCTACATATCTCAATATTACTAACCATGATCTAATTTCATATGTAAACCTTTCTCTTTTTCTTCCATTTCTTCTTCCTTTTCAGCCTGAACATCAAAATCTTGTTCTACTTGTTCAGAAATTTTTCTTAGATGCTGCATAAATACTTCAATAGAGGATGTAAAATTAAATTCTTTATTATTCAACCAGTGAACAACGAAGCCTCCATTTCCTTCATCTATATTAAAAGCCGTTCCAGCCAAGACTGATGGAATATCTGTGGACATTTTTAAACAAACAAAAAAAGCTATATATTAAACTGCTCACCTTTAAAATATATACACACACATACACGCAGATTTCTTAAGACATATAGGTTATTTTAAGTAGAACCTAAAAATTATTAATAATTTGTGCCCGTAAGATCAGAAAAGGTAGGATACAGATCAAGTTTTTACATGCAATTGTAATTAAAAAAATTTATAAGATATTTTAAAGTCAGTAAATTTACATGAAAATTAATTCTTAAGTGAATGGTAAATGATACTCAACAGTTCTAACTCCGCACTTTCATACATTTCAGTGTTGTCATTTCACATACAGATTTTAGGTAACTAACATGATTGCTCTTTAGTCTTTCAATTGTTTATAATATTCTGCATTATTCTATAAAAGCAGCTGGTTTCCTGCAAAAAAAAAATCTGGTACAGCCTTTTTTTTATTCACTATCTATTCTGTACAGTGCAAATACTCTATTCATCATTTACCATTGCCTCCCAAACCACATCAATCTAACACCAAGCAGACATGCAATTTAGGTTTCTTTTGCTTTCTAATATACAAAGATGAATTTAATTGGCTTTTAGAAGTTCTGAAGGTATTCAGAATAAATTTGACCTCATTTGTCTTACAAAACTCTATAAGAAATAATAGGCTTGTGAAATAAGTCTTCCTACAAATTCCCTGTATTCAATTAGGTAAAGAATGTGCATCTGTCTCCTCTCCCCCCCTTGCTTTTTTTCATTTTGTGTAAATATATTATTACAGATTAATAAATGGTTATAATATTTCACCTGTATTAGGGTTGATGCTTGCTGCTATGTGGAAGTGACCAAGCGCATTTGCGTGATGTGAAATGTGACGCTGAACTTCGTGGGTACCCTGTTGATCTGGCAATACATCTGTGTGAGTAACAAGAACTGAAGATCTCCTTTGTCCTTTTCTCATATTTTTCAACTCGTGAATTGTCTGGTATATTTATAAAACAAAAAAAGAAAATAAATTAAACTGTAAAGTAAAAATTCACACTTCTGTAAAGCCTAAAGCTTTTTAACTTCCTTCTACCTAAGACATGAAGACTAATTTCAAAAGGATTACTTTAAATAGATTTCAGTAGATTAGTAACACTTCTGTACATCAGTTCTAGCTATAGGCAAAGCTCTTCGAACAGTCTTCTGAAAGTTATGTTAAAATCTGCTCCAACAACACCACAAAAATACTATTTTGTGTAACTTTCATAAACAAGATGATAACAATCTAAAAGCAGTAATATTTGCAATGTAATTTTATAATGAATTATTTTTGTGTAACTGAAAATTGCTGAGAGCACAACTGACTGAACAGCCCAAAGCATATTTGGTTCCATTTTCCCTATTTGTTGATAGTCATGACATATAAGTAGAAACTTCATCAGATTGTAATAGTCTACAAATGAGTAGTGGGGTGTTTGTGGTTTTGTTTTGTTTTCTTGTTTTTATATTGATACGTTTTCTCTTACTGTAAACTTAATAGACTTGATATAACTGCCATTGAAATTTAGCGACCCGTAGCACCACTTTTTGGAAATGCAGTTATCAAATAAGATGACTAAAAAATTAAAAGATTTTATTTACTGCTTTCTCTGTTTCTATAATTACAGACTTTCAGAGCCAATCACAATGAAACTAACACTATTCCATATTAAATATTGTCTCATCACTATTAGCTATAGAAAAAGTAGATTGAGTTTTAAGAACAAGAACTTGGGTGCAGAGTTGCTAAGTCTGACTTCTTCATTGTTTAGTAACAAACTTCAAAAACTGATATGTAGTAATTCAGACTACTTTTATCCTTATAAGAACTAGATAATACACATTCATGGAGTTCTACATCCTTTAAGCATTTAAATTTTAAGAATCTTGAAATAAAAAAGTGACAAGTATTTACTTGTACCTCTAGTGCATGCTGTATCCTGTCCTTTTGCTTTCCAGATTGAGAGACAGTGCTACTAATGCTGGAAGTGCTGGTTTCACAGATCTGCTCACCAAGAAGAGTATCTTCTGGTAACAATGTCTCTGCCCACAGCCGACAGACGCCATCAAGACAAGATGTGAGTAACACATTACAGACCAAACCCCTAACAATAGACATATCAAGGTTACTGCCCAATGTAATTAAATTAGCTATATGGACACAGAGGAAATTATGGGAGAGTAGTTATTGTTTCATCCAAATTTCTGCCTCTCTGCTAACTAAAGGTTTTATATCAGTAGTGATTTCTGGCATGCTGGTAAACCCATAACTGGATTTGGCAAAGCCCATATTCATTGTTGGCAAAAGTGCATGTGAACGTGGAATGATTATTATTTGGTAAATGCAACAGTTATTATAAAACTGCAGTTACCAAACTGCCTAAACTATCTGACTTGCTGGACTATGTGAAGAATGCGTAATTTTTACTAAATAACTAAAAATGAAATTGAACAACTAATTAATAACCAGTATATACAATACAAAATAACTTACTAAATGCTAACCATTTAAACAAGTATTTTATTTCCAATGTCATAGCACCAACTGGTGAAGACAAAGCTTTACATTCATGCTTCCTGGTATAACTTGAGACAGCACTAAAGTTTAGACCATATTTTAGAATAAATCTCACCTGTTAACATGACTATCACTATTGTACTAGGTAATACAAAAGCTTATGGAAGGATGTTCATATGTTTTATTTCCTGAAAGTATAAGCGGAGAAGTCTAAACATGTTCTTGATGGCCAAACTTCAACCAGCGTGTTAAAAGAACACTTGCTCAAAGCCTTGCCTGGGTTTTTGTAAAAAGAAAACTTTCGAACCTGGGCATGTACTTGCTAATGTTACGCCATGAAAATCCTGTCACTGCTCGAGGATGCGCCAAATAAACAAATGAGAAGTTGACAACCCCTGAGCTTTTTTTCTTTTCTTCGTTCTCTTGGGGCAGAAGAGATGACTTCCAACCAGTCATAGGATACCAAACCTTTAAAAGGCAGTCATTCTAGGTAAAGCAATAAAAAGCCATGGGGTTAGCTAGCTATAATTAAAAATATCACAACAATAAAGTCCCAAATAATAAGGAAACTGCTGTTCTGGTACTTTTTGCAGTTTTTCAGACAACCCATTTCTGAGACCACTTATTTCATTGATGGTCATCCTGGAATAAGTTACAGGACTGAAAAAATATTCTGCTGGCAATACTCCATTCCTATAAGGATTTTTTAATTCCAGTCCAGTTGGCCCCCTACTTTTCTCTTGGTTCACTGTCCATTTTCTGCTTAGCACATATGCATTCTTAAAATGCCATGTCCATTTCCCTGCAAAGATAGAAGCCAGAAATAGGCTGCTACTCACACTACAATATTAAACTCATTACCAGTCAGTTTCTCCAATGAGACAACTCATGTTGGTTCCCATGCACAGGAAGCCTGACTTTCATGGAAAGCCAGTACCTACTGAGTACTGGCACTGAGTGGAGGAGCAGATGTATACTACAACCTTACCCTCCGCCACCACAACCTGTGCTACCTTCCTGGTTTAAATGGCTGGGCACCACTGACGTAATTAATTGAAAAAAAGGTGAAATGCTGAAACAGCAATACTACTAATTGAAAACTTAACTTGAATAGCAATTTGACAAAAAATACTGCAAACTGAAATAGAAGTTAAGATCTGATAATTGAACCCAGAATTCACTAAATAGAAAATATTTTCTAATTTATGCACTGAGCTGTACAAATTATCAGTACATATTATCAAACAAATAAAAAACATTGCAATCACTTATTTAATTATTCTTTTTTTGTCCTTACTTTCCCAGCTGTTGCAAAATATTCACCATCAGGAGACCATGCCATCAAATGTACTGATACTGCAGTCCTAAAGAATACAAGAGTAAAGTTTTAAGTTGTAAGTAAAGTCTATTTATTCCATAGTATTATTCCATATGTATTCAGTTGATTAAATATTACTGTTCATTATTTAAATGAAATGTATTAGTGTTTTATAGTTATTGCTTTAAGCATACTTTAGAAATGGCAGAAGCATAAGAAGTATTTTCTACAATGAAACAAAATATTTAGTATTTTCAAAATTTTACAGAACAACAGCTCACAAAATACATTGTTTTAAGTATGGCAAGCCTAGGCTAGATCCAATGAGATCACAGGAGTGAAGTTTGTCCCACCTACTCCTTTACTCCCAGTGAAGACAAATAGTACAAAGAAATGAAAGTGAAGATCTTCTAGATAAATTTGTGATACTATTTGTCTGTGACTACAGTTTATGAGTCTGCTGCCTGAAAGAGGAAAGTAGCCTATACAGTGCTTTGTGGTAACAAAATCTAAAATGGCTTTAAAAAAGTCGGTAGAAAACAAGTTCATAGGCAGCTGCTTCCCAAATCTGCATGTATATATATAGAAATGGCTGATCATGAAGCAATTCCGTAACATGGATCTCAAATAGAACTGGGTAAAAAGTTTCAGGACCCTCTGGCTGACATTCAAAAAGCAGTTGTCATCTTTGTCAGTGCAGCATATCTGCCTGCTACTGCTCCTCCGTTCGGCCTTATCCAATACCTCAACACTACTTTCAAAGAAAACAGGGACAATTTTGATACATTGCCAGTGCTACCGTTTGGGTAAGCCTTTGACTAGCTTGTCTAGTGATAGGTCACTTGCAAAAGTGAGGAATTTTTATCTGGAGTAACTTACATAATTTGGATATTTTTATGGTATTTTAAGCTGATTTAAAAGGACATTTTAAAATATGGGTTTGGAAAGAAGATAGGGTTGATAAATGAGGTGGCACTGCAATTTGTCTTAAAATAAAAATTATCTCACTCACTTGCACTGCCAGACACATTTCCAGTCATTTAGAACTGGGAGAACTTTATCATCTTTGACCTGATTGTCAGGATCATCATCATTTTCTTCTAGAATGTCACTAGATGGAGGGGCCCACAATTGCAAAAAGTCAGTTGCTGTCAGCAGCCTGTTACCTGAAAGTGAGTAATATCAAAGCTGTGAAGGCAAGATGATGCAGGTATATTGAAAGATTAAGTCTGTCATCATATTTTGCTCAGAATTATTCAAAACAGGTTGAAACCTCAACTTCATAAAGTCCGTTTTAAACATGATAGGGTATTCAATCATATTATATAGGTGCTTTTATTTAAACATTTTGAATTTATAATATGTTTTAAGTAAGAACATCAGGGTTTTTTTGGTGACTTCAAATGATAAATCATATTAAAAAATCAATGTTACATCTCAAATATGCATCTTATAAAGATCTGTGACCAGGAACATTGCTGATTTTAATTGTGATAAAATTATGTCTAAATGATTATTTATGGTAATTTAAGTCAGTTAACAACTTAGCACTGTGATTCCCAAACTTAAGATCTTGCATAAGAGAGTCAAACACTTGACACAGCATCTTCACTAATGTTAAATGTAGCCTCGCATTTTATGCAACACTGCCTGAGAACAGATAATCTGAAATTTCCATATTCATGCTCTCACTTTACTACAATAACAACAGTTTGTGTACAAGTTCTCCTAACTACAAATGTTGAACAAATACTTCACAAACTTCACATTACCTTGAGGATCCCATGCCAGGTTATAAGTCATAGAACTGAGGAAGAATTGGCCAGTTTTAAGCCACTGACACTTTAGTTGCTGTAGTTTAAAAACAATAAAGGATTAATTCTCACATCAACGGCAAAATACAAAGGTATTGGTATTTCATACTTTCCCTATGAAATTGCTATTAAGCCTATTGCAAAAACATTCAGGACCCCATGGCAGATGGCTGAATCTAGTTTTAATAACTTTGTTAATGGCTTTATAAAAATTATAGTGCTCTATGAACCAGCTCAGGACCTGCAGAGATGTAAATATATCTGTAGACTACTTTAGCTAGGTCATATATTTATTACAGTATAAAGGATGGCAGTATAGATGGAACAAAGACTGTGAAACCTGCTTGAGAATCACAGAATAGTTGGGGTTGGAAAGGACCTTAAGATCATCCAGTTCCAACCCCCGCTGCCATGGGAAGGGATGCCTCACACTAGACTATGTCACTCAAGACTCTGTCCAGCCTGGCCTTCAACACTGCCAAGGATGGAACATTTACCATACCAAGAACATACTTAATGCTTGAGTGCTCAGCCGTGGCTGTGCACTTAATACAAGCCTGGGTACATGTATATAAGTCTAAGTCATATTTCTGTACCACAAATCTGATGACCTCTTCAAGCTATAGAATCACACACATGTCACCGTGTCATTCTACTATGAGATTAAAAGAACAAGATGTTATTGTGAACTTAGCAGATGTACAGACCCCAGTTTGATTCATGCAGTGGAAGACTTTACACACCCAATTTTATTATGGATGGTGGAAAATGTTTATCCATTAGTCTTTGGTGTGCCAGTGTAATTTAATAACTGGCAGACAGACTTTTGCCTCTTCTAAGAGCCTAAACCAAATTTCAATCAAGAAATACATACTTACACTATTTCTTTTATGAGAATTTATACCAAGTGGTTCAAAAATGCAAACAGCATTTCCATATGATGCTGCAATCTGGAAAGAAAAAAGTAAAGCTGAAGACTCAAACTGTAAGGTTAGGAGATAAGCATACCCACTCGTCGGTATTCCAGAACAGCTAAAGAATTTTTAGTACCTCTTCTATGTGTCATTTTTCAAGAAAAGTAAAATTAATACAAGTGTCATTAATTATGTTATATGTATACTTTCTTAAAGAAGGTGAGAAATACATCCTTCTGAAAAAGCCTATCTTTAAGATTTTAACACTAAGTAGGGAAGACATCTTGTTCAGTGGGATAAACACTGTCAATCAAATCTAAAACATTCTTCTAGGGTAATTACTGTTAATGCATAAGGGAAAGCTGATCACTACTTCTGTCTACTTCACAGCTAACTAATAAATTAATTATTAGTGACAGGGTCTCTGTGTTCCCAGATTCCATTTTGTATCACTGAATAATAATTATGAGAAACAGGAAGAAATGTAATTCTATTTTGAATACTTAAGTATGTTTTGAGGGGAGACAAATGGTAAATGGAAAAACTGAAGTACTTGCAGCACTGAACCCCTCAATTTCTTTTACTCACTTATTTCACAAAAACCTCCATACACAAAACAATCTTTATTAGGAATCTGTCTGGTCGAGTTGCTAATACTCATGTGCTTATGAGTACTTTTGACTATCTTTAAAATCCCTTTCTCTTCCTTAAAAGACTGTCTCAGCTCTTCCCACTCAGGATCTGGTTTCTTCAATACAGAAATGATGTAAAAGTTTCAAAATATTTATTATGAAATCTTGTTTCCTCTTCAGGGCAGGGGAAGGAGGAATCAACAACACATTCCTACAGAAAAGAACAGTCTTTGAGTTCAGAGTCCTGAATGCAGAACACCCAGGGGGTCACGGTGATCTTGCAAGGTCCACCTGTGCACCTGGAATCTCTCTTCCAGTCCTACTGGGACTGCCTGGCTGCAGCACAGGCGCCTTGCCAACTAAACCTGCCCAAACCCTAACTAGGGCTTTCTCAATACTGCAACTAATTTTTAACTAGCTAATATTAGTAGGCAGTGACAACTGCCAAACAAAATTTGCTCAGTGCACTACCATAACTCATAGTTTTTCCCAGCAATGTGAACTGTCTCTTTAGCATTGTTTAGGGATTAAAAATAAAATGACATAGCCAGTCAAGTGGCCTCGCAGTTATGACTGCTCATACTGTAGCACTCCTAAACACATTAAACATGCCTAAGGTTTTCTGAAAGATAAAGTATTTCCAATTCATTATTTTGCAGGACACAAACACCCACTCACGCATATGCATGTATATATATATGTATACATGAATATTTATCCGTATCTTCTTTAGCTAGATGAAAGTATACAACAGTGGAGACAGTAACAGTCATTTCAGTACCATTCCAGTTCTGATACTATACTGTAACTAATACATATTTCCACATTTTGTTAGACCTGTTATCGCAGGTCCTGGAAAGGAATAAAACCCATTGTTACAAAATGTCTACTCTCTCCCTTCCCACCCCCACCCCCCCCAAAAAAGAAAACTTGCTATGAAATTGAAACAATTCTGTGAGTAACACAAACCTCAAAGTGTTACTTGAGGTTACAGATCAGTAAAATCAGATCTTTGCCATGAAAGCAGCTCATTAGCAACATTAATGTATTATGTTGCTGTTCAATTATTTCATTTAGAATATTCCATTTAAAAAAAACTGCTATAGAAATTTATTAAAATCCTTACCCTGCCTTGTTGCTGGGAGCACTCCACGCAACTGACCTGGATATTTCCATGTTTAGCACCAGGAATAATTTGCACACATTCGAAGTCATCTGCCAGAATAACAATATCACAACCAGAGCCATATGCCTGAAATATTTTAAAAATAAATACAAATAAAAAATCAATTTAAAAAGCTGAATACGGATTAAACAAGTTTGAGAGCTCTGTGAAAATCGCCATTGCAACAAGATGTTACTATGTAGCACTGACAGAATATGCAACAAGTTAAAACAATGTAGCAAAAGAGGGCTTAAATCACTGCAAACAAAACCAGTAAAAAATGCAAACAAAGCTTCAAACTTACTCTAGAACGCAAGCTCTGTTTGTACTTTCATTTGTTTTGTGGAATTTTTTTTTCTGGGTTTTAGTTGTTTGGGTTTTATTCTCCCTTCTAATTCTTGTTGCCTCTTAAAACAAGGCAGCCAAGAGTCTACTGTTCAGGTGGACTTACTGAATTCGCATATAAATTTCTTAAATATGTGTGCCTCCCACTTTTTTTTTAAGAATAAGTTATAGAACAATGATAGCTTGCAGCTATTGGGAGAATAAATTATATATATCTGCCTGCCAACCTTCACCTGTCCTAGTGTGTCAGAGTACTCTAAAAAGTTAATCACTCCAGATGATCTGTTCCATGGACTCCCACATTCAAGCACAGAAATCCTCTCTAGCATCTGTCTACCAATAAGCCTTTCTAAAGTAAACATTTATAGCTACAAGTCTGCTTCCTTAAAGTAAGTTTTCCACCGATTCCAATACAGTAGGCAGAAATTTTACAAGAGATGAATTAAGCAGAGGGTGCAAGTCCTTGACAGTCAATTTCAGATAGCATAAAATTACTTTGACAATTTAACTTGTGCCCTGCTTCTTTCACAGGGGAATTTCCAAATTCCCAAGTCCTAGCCCTCACCTTGAAAGTCAATCAGTTTAAAGGCTACTTGTATTATTTTTGAGAAGTGGATGAGAAATTGTATTTCTATAGATTTACACGATCAATGCCCATTGATGTGTACATGAAGAGAATGATGCAAGATAGCCACTGGAACTAGAATGCACAATTTAGGTCTCATGACCTTCTATGTCTACTTCTAATCCTCCTGGGAAGGAGCAACAAGTGAGAAAGTCTGAAGAAAAAGGCTTAATTTAGTTAAAGGTACAGTCACTGCTAGAACCAAGAAAAGAACAGCAATACAAGCAATGAAGCAGAAACTCAGGCCTCGGAAATTAACACACCATACATTGCACAAAAAAAATTGAAAACTGTTCAAAACATAGATTGTCTAAAGGATTTCCAAGGTCATCTCATAAAAGCAAAGTGAGACAGTGTTGTCTGAGTCCTCAAGCCCACAGCCATTGTTCTGGGAAGGTCTGAGGAACTGATACTAGAATTTTTCACAGTGTAAGCAGAAGAGGGGAAAAAACCCAATTGCCAAAAGAGGGAGATTATCTATGTAATAGAATATCCTAGCTCCCTGATGATTAGGCTTTGCAATTATTAGATCCAACTGGAAGGGAATAAGTTGTAATTAAAATGGAATAGGATTATTTCCAGGAAGAAAGATGGGATTCTGGCATTGAACAGAAAGTCTTTTCATTTTCTTGTTTTTCTAATTTTTTAGTATTGTAATTTGGTGCAAAACAAACTCCATCAGTGGTGTGGAATGCTGGACAGGACAGCAAATATACACAAGTATGAAGGAAAATGATGGAACCCAGGATGTCCATAAGCAGACAGGAAAATAAAAGCAGGTGGTCTTGTTCCAATAATTTATTTAGAATTTTAATGTTCAAAAGCAACTGATACTCCTATTTATTTGAAAGGGTGAACAATCAAAACAGCAAAGAGTTTTAAGACCTTTTTCTCAATAGTCTGTCTCAAGCTACTAATACAAACCTGCTAAAAGACATGATTTAAATTGTTATCTAATACAGTAAAAAAAGGTACAGATCTACTTCAAAAAAGGTCTTAAACCTTTCTGATAACTATCTTTTCACTGTCAGTGTTGATAACTTGACTGGCAAATTTCAAACTAAACTAAAAATAATTTACCTCTAGTTGCAATCCTGTTAGCAGGGGATATGGATGTGTGTCTCAGAAATTACATAGGCAAAGGAAGAGACTTCTCAACTTTAATTGGCTTATGCTTACTATTCTTAAACATGCATGTTTCTATGTCTGTGTATAGTTGGTAACACATGAAACAAAATACCCAACTATGTCTGTTGACTCTGTCAGGCAAAACAATTCAATATCTTCCTTTTAAAACATTTTAGTTTCTCTCCTGTTCCTTATATACACTTTGTATTACAGTGACAAAGCAGTATTTTTTTTCTGGCTAATTATACTATTTAGCACATTTTTACAAAGTTAAGTAAAAATATGGTTGCAAACTAGAAGTGTGGTTTACAGTAGTTTCTTTTTTCTTTTTCTTTTTAAAGAATGATTGAGATGCAAAGATCTCTTTCCTAACTGAACTTTTATTACTGTCACCCATATCCCTCCTACTCTTCGCCTGTGTTTGGCACTGCACCAGCAAGTGACTCAGCACACCTAAGTGTCATGCCAACAGAGGATCCAGTCTGTTAGGGAGCTTAGTCAGAACGCATTTCCAACAGTAGGGTATCAGCCTTCAGCAAGTGCAGTCTCTTGGTTCTGAGGTCATTTTCTCAGTGTAGATATTTGAGAATGTGTCTCATTTCTTGAAAGTATATTTAGGTATATTTACCTTAAACCTTAAATTTCCTTTAAGAAGTACATTTCTTATAACCTTTGAGAAAAGGTGCTCCCTCATTTTAGTGTGCTCAGTTTCTCACATTTATGGTCTCCAAATTTCTCAAAACAAAAAATATCAATATACTTTTCTGTACTGGAAGATATTTCTGTATTTTATATGCCTAAAAGCAAGTTTTCCATTCGATTACTTTTATGAGGCTTTTCTTCTATACACAATATATTAACATGTTTATACTCAAACAGAACGCATTTCTATTAAATCCTCTTTTTATTTTGTCCTTTTACTCCTTAAGCTGGTAATGCAGTAGAAGCATCCTACAGTGGAAAAGAACAGGGAAGTGTCATAATATTTAACATCAGTACTTCCTTTTAAGGATTCAGCTGACAACATCTTCCGGAAGATCATTCATGCCACTACAGACATCTGCCAGAAATAACAGTGGCCACAATACTTGTGGCAGCAGACTAGCAATCTGCATAGCCTGAAAAAAGGAATGGAAAATCAGTAAGCTATACAAAAAGGGAAGATGAAAAATAAGATGCTGAGATACTGTTGTGGATGAGAGCAGCACAGAGTTCTTAAACAGAATTATAAGCAGTCACTGAATGAAACAATTGCAGTAAAAAACACCCACATGGACTATCTGCCAACCTCCATTTCTAATGTCACTGATAACTTCTAAGAGAAAATTAAATGGAGTTGCAAAACAGCCAGAACGCAATGATGACTTGCAGGATCCATAAGCAACTAATAAGATGTAGTGTGCCAATGTCTGCTCTAACTGTCAAGATCTGGGACCAGTGAAATGAACAACAACAAAGCTGTAATTGAATGCAGGAGCACCAGATGGAAGTAGGACATTGTGTCCTAAGAGTTTATGCTATATCCTCAATTTTCAAACAATACAGAAGCAGCATGTACATCTCTCTTTTTCAGCTGCCCATGTTTTCTGGTTTGGTTGTCTAATTTTAATGTTGAACACAGGAACTAACAGACAGGGCAACAAGTATTCCTTCACATTCTCATCTTGGTTTTCGCTTTTTATATTTTTCAGTGTGTGTATATATATACACACACATGTATGTATTTTTTAAAATATATATATATATATATACACACACACATATAAAGATTCTTCTCTTTCTATGACCTGCGACTCTACAACTTTGGCATAAATGAAATAGATCAGACATCCTCAAGCTCCAATGTGTGCTATTTGGGGTACTGAGGCATTTCAGGACCTAAATGATGTGGAGGAAATAGAATCAGCCCACACTGGTATTTTAAAAAGCCCCAGAAATTCATAAACATCTCAAATTACATAAATTAATTAAAATCTGTATTAAAACTTGCATTAAAGCATGTATTGTCCTTATAGTACTCCTCCAGTATAACACCACTTATCCTTAAGTTTCTGGCTATGGATAGTAAACATGTAAGATGCAGAAATTCCTTCACCTTCCTACTGGTGATGAAGACACCTGAATTCTGAAATACCTCCATACTCTCATAATGGACACAACATTTACACTTGCCCCCTCCGGTGGCTAAACAGTAGTAGAATTACACACATTTGAAGCAAACAGGCAAAATAAAAAAAACCAAAACCCAACCCAACCCACCACTAGCCTATGGCCTGTAGAACACTTTCCTAAACTGTCATTTGAGACAAATTCATGATGAAATACTTTAAAATACGGTTACAAACTTCAGAGAAAAGAGAACATAGTAAGGATTCAGATGTTAAGTATCTGTAATCCAGTTCACATAAACATGACACAGTGGAGAACATACAGATAGAGCTGATCCTGCCCCTCCACCACTCTGCTCTCATGAGACCCCGCTGGGAGTACTGTGTGAAGTTCTGACATTCTCAACATAAGAAGGACATGGAGCTGTTGGATCAAGTCCAGAGTAGGGCCATGATGATGATTGGGGGCTGGAGCACCTCCTCTAGGAAGACATGCTAAGAAAGTTGCAGCTGTTCAGCCTGGAGAAGAGAAGCTGCGTGGAGACCTCAAAGTAGCCTTCCAGTATCTGAAGGGGGCCTACAAGGATCCTGGAGAGGGACACTTCATCAGGGACCATAGCGATAGGACAAGAGGTAATGGGTTTAAACTTAAACAGCGGAAGTTCAGGTTAGATATATGGAAGAAGTTCTTTACTGTGAGGGTGGTGAGGCACTGGAATGGGTTGCCCAAAGAAGTGGTGAACGCTCCATCCTTGGCAGTGTCCAAGGCCAGGCTGGACAAAGCCTTGGGCAACATGGTCTAGTGAGGCGTCCCTGGCCATGGCAGCGGGGTTGGAACTAGATGATCTTAAGGTCCTTTCCAACCCAAACCATTC